TTGCAAACAGTCTAGACCACTCGTCTAAAAGCCTGCGGATGGGCCGAGGGAGAGGTGCATCAGAACTAGGGCGTGCGAGAGAACGGGAGATGAACCGCTCGTCAGCTGAAGTGACGATTTATTTGATATGTTCTGTAAGATTCTCTACGGGCACGTCCAGGGGAAGGTCGTGAAACTGTGCCCTAATAAACTCTCGTAAGGAGCCGAAGTTGGTTTGCTTGAACGATCTGACAATTTGTGGAAATTCCGTTCTAGTTTTCTAGTCCATAATGTAGTCAAGCAGCAGAACTACGTGGTCACTCTTTCCGATAGGTGGAAGGTGATTTACCACGTCGATCTGATTGTCATCATTCGTTATAATACGATCTAGCAATGAAGGTGCCTGACCTGGGCGGAACCTCGTAGGTTGGTCTACGTGTTGAGTTCAGGAGTTTTCTAGTACTAAATCAATAAGAGGACGCCCAAAAGAAAGGTCAGAAGAGTATGCTCTGATCCAGTCAAGACCCGGGGCATTAAAATCACCAGTAATTAGAAGGTGGTTGAAAGGATCAGTGCTACTTATTGACCTTAATTGGTCAATGATTAGTTGGCTTTTGATGGGATAACTCTGGGGAGGACGGTATACGACTCCAAGTAGGAGTGCGGCTAACCTTGAGAGTTTGAGTTTAACCCATAACGTATCTATTGGGCCTATCGGGTTGACTGAAATAAGAAACGGAGGAGGGAGGGCGCAACTAAAGTAAGCTATGACACCACTTGCTCTGCCCCGAGCTGAGTCTGATCTTAACAATGTAAAGCTGGGAATGGAGATTTCCCCATCTAGAACATTATCGTAGAGCCAGGTCTCGGTGGGGGTGATGACATGGAGGCGTTGCTCTGAAGTAAGTTGCTTTAGTTCAAGAACTTTGTTTGGGAGGCTAAGACAGTTGCTGGAAATGCATTTAAGTATGCGTCCATCAAAGTCCTTGAGTCCGTTAGGGAGAAAGGCGAGACCAGTCGGAAGCGACATTCGAGGTGGTTGACATATGGTTTCAGCGTACGTTGGTCGGGGGGCTATCTTAGATAGGTATCTCACCATCGGTGGGGCTTTCTTTATCGGCCTCTCTGGCGGGCGACCTGTCGTACCCTTTGTCCGAAAAATTGCTCTGTTGTTGCCGTTATCCAGCTGGGAGGGTACACCGTAGGAACAACCATTCACTGGTTGAAGCGTTGGTCATTTATCGGCCTCCGGCAGCTTTCGCAGTGTGTCCAGACGCACCTGATTGCGACTAGGAGTGTCCCCGAGGAGCCACCTCCTAGTGTTAGGTGGGGCCAGTTTGCGGGCCGGACTGGGTTTAGTCTCTCCTTTACTTTTCAGCTTCTTTTGCTTCTTAGTCCCAGAGGCCTTGATTGAATCCTGGTTCTGTTCTATAAAACTGTTGTTTTCTGAGCTGGCCGCCATTGGTTTAAGGCAGACTACTGTCTCGTCTAAGAGTATGGGGTCTGGGGAAGAGGGTTGAGACTTAAGAACCTTTGAGTCCAACCGATCTGCTGAGATGAAGGCGCTTCTCAACAGTTCGGAATCTCTAGGATCAACTTTTGGA